CCAAGGAGCCACCATGGCTGAGCAGCTTCTGGTGCACTTCTAAGAGGGCTAAGCACAGGGAGCACACACACCCAGCAAGCAGCATGAGTTCACCACATTTCACATCACACTGGCCTCAGGCTCAGCCTAAGAGACCTGCAAATGGAGTGGAAACTCCTCTACCTGAGAAGGAGCTTTTTACAGTGCAAGTGAAAAACTACTGCTTGCTGTTAGCAAAGGTACATTTTACTATGCAGGTAGAAGGAAAGGAAACTTTACATGTTCAAGTGACCCCTGCAAGCAACCTCTTCCAGGTATCCCAATGGAGGTGGGTACTAACTATATCAAACCTGCAGCACGGCTGCCTCCCTGGGCACGCGCACACAGAGCAATTCCTGGCTGCACGCAGGGCAAGCTGATGGTTGTGTAATGCACAAGCTGGGCTGCTGCCAAGGCACAGAGCAGGATCTTCAGCCGGCACCTAATCCCACCACAGCCTCGCTCCCTGCACATCCGATTAGTCTCCCATTTTCCCGTTTCAGTGAAGGCAAACCATTCCATGGAGCTCCACACCCTCTAGTGGGCATTAGAGCTTGGTACACTGAGGAGATGCTCTGAAACCCAGCACTGCTGAACTCGAGTAAATTGCCCCTCCAGATCCCCAGAGCATACCCAGCCAGCACTGCACACCCTCAGCGTGTCTGCCCCAGGCACAAATCGCAAGTGTCAGTGCAGTTTACACACCCACTTGCCTGGATTCACACTTGCAGCACGTTGAAAATGTTTCTGCTTTGTTCACACACAATAGCAAGTATTAAATCTCAGTAAGTCAACTTTGAGAACTGGATTTTATTCATGCTTACCATCTAGCTAAGCAAAATGATTTTCTATTACCTAAAAAGATCACACAGCTGTAACCAGACTGCAAGAGCAGCACTCTCACCATCGTGCAGAATGGATCTTCTGGTCCAGCCACCTGAAAAGAAACAACCAGGGTGTTCAGACACAGCAAATGCACTGCAGGGAAGCTGGGCATGGGTACCAGAGGTGCTCAGTGTGGACACAAGGGAGCCAGAGCCCACCAGGGTGTCACAAACAGCTCATAGCCCAGGGTCCTCGTGAACTGGATTTCTGCAGGAATGGCTGTAACCACAGCCCAGAGCTTATACTGGTTCATGCTGACAGATTAGCTGTGTGGCCAGCAGAAAGCCTGTGGGCACAGCATTCACCTCCTGGATTGGTCTGAGCATGAGAGGCGACAAAATGAGCTTGTACTGCATCAGAGTGTTGTGTAACAGCAACACAGCACTCAGGTCTCGTACCAGAAGGCCCAAAGCAAGAGACACTGCCACACTTCTAGTGAGGAGGCACAGTATGACCGGTGTTCCTTCAAAACCAAACTTCATGCTGTTGTGGTTACCTTCACACCATCAACAGGGTGAGACATCAGGTAGAAAATATTCACCACCTGATGAACAAGAGGAGTGCCACAAAGGATTAACACTGAGCTCCTTAAACCATCAGGATCCCAAATTAACACCCCATTAAACTTATGAGGGAGTTTAATTTCACACATCTGGTTAAAACAGCATGAAACTGGACAGTAACAGCATATTAGAGCTCCCAAGACAGACACATCGATCATATCCTTCTGGCTCAGGTGCTGCTGGCATGCAGTGGTTCTCCCTGGTTTTAAGATCCCATTGGAAACACAACATCTGGCAGCTTCTGCACAGACGCTGTGGTCTGTACAGCGCAGCAGAGCTGTTCCACCAAACAAAGCCACTAAGGTGGGGAGGGAAAGCGGGAGAAAAGTTGGTCTTCCCTTCCCAAAAGTACACAGCCCTTCCTCCCAACATTTCCCTAACTTCATTAATACTAGGTTATTTAGCTGTCTCTCCTCAGCTTGTTCTTGCTGCTTTTATTGGGCTAACTGCTCACAGATGGGTCAAAGTGAGCAAAGGAAAAGCTTTGCTGGGACTGGGAGCAGGGAGGGTCTCCCACTGAAATATGAATTCATTTTATCTCAAACTGCACCAAGAGAGCTCCGAGATCACTGACACATCAGCTCCAGGCACACACAACACAGTCTGGTGGCAAAGCTGGGTTAAGAAGCACCTCCTCCTCCCACTGTCTGTCAGCTCCTCAGCTGTACAGGAGCAATCATCTGGGGTGACCTCGCTGTGAGCCAAATCACCCAAACACCACCACCAAGCAGGAAAAATGCTTTTGGGGATTGGGCTTTTGTTTGGCAAAGCATTTTTGTCAGCAGCTAGGATCACAGCATGCATCTCCCCCACTCCCCCCCTTCCTATGTGCTTCTGAGCTGTGAGCCCAGCTGTACAAGAGAAACCAAACAGTAAAGAAAACCACAGATACACAGAAGAGCATAGTACAACTTCCAAGAAAGCCATACGATTTGCTTGAGTAAAGAAACCACATTAACAGTCCCTACATTGTGGGGGGAACAAAGTTTTGGAACTAATGATAATTCAGGTGGAAAACGTATGAGCAACACACCTAAGTTCTGGTTTTCACACCTGTGAAACTCGCCTGTGAAGGAAGCGCAGTATCAGTTTCATTGTTCTAGGTGATTTTCGAGAGAAGATTCAGTATGCATGAAACCACCCGACTGTAAAGCTGTTTGCCCCTGCCCTGGGGATCTGTTGTTTGCAGTATCATACATGACCATCAAAACGCTGCATGGATGCTCACACCTGTTACTGCACAGGAGGGACCCCGCAGGGAGCCCACCTGGGAGCTGATCTCGGGCACAGGGCCAGGCTGGCTGGTATGAGGAGGGCCCCGCTGGCCCCACTGCCCAGCAGCCCTCCCCCAGCCCTGGCGCACCCCTCCTGCCTCCCCACCACCACCACCACCCCGAGGTTCTCCCTCACCTCAGGGATGGAAGCACTCGGGGCTGCCGCCTCTCGGGGGCTGAGGAAGTCCTGCGGAGAATCACAGATAAAACAGCGCCGGTTTGAGACACACTGCATCCCCCTCCAGCCCTGCACCCCCCATACGGGCTCAGCACCGCCCACAGGGGTACCACAACCCGGCCTGCCCCCTTCCCCAGCCTCCCAGCTCTCCTCCGCACCCCCCCTTCCCAACTGCCACTCCCGCACCGCACCGCACCGCACCCCATGGCCTGCCCCCGGCCCTCACTACACCCCCCCCCCCCCCCACCGCTCCCCAGGCTTCCCTCGCACCCCTCCCCACATTGCCCCCCGCCTCCCGCATGGCCCCCGCTGCCCCCCATACCCCCCAGCCCAAGCCCGGCCTCCGCCCGCCATGAGGCCGCTCGCAACCGGAAACAGAAAGGCCGGAACTCCACCGAGACCCAGAGCAGCCCAGAGCGTCTCACAACCACTTCCGGCCTCTGGCGGTCCTCCCGACACCGCCTTAAAGGGCCCGCGGCGTCCGGAGCCATCGCTATGGCAACGGCAGGGCCCGATCCGGCCCCGGGAGCACCAACGGGGTTCGTTTTGTGTCCCGCAAAAGGTGAAACCTCCGCACACGGGGCGGGGCGGACGGACACGGCTCTTGGCCCAAGCTGAAGCGGCACCAACACATTCAGGCCTGAGGTCTGCTCTGCTGGTGGGGGTTTTCAACACGAGCCGGCTTGTGCCCAGGCAGCACCGGTGCGGCAGCAGGGCCAGGGCAGGGATTGTGCCCCTGTGGTGGGCACTGGTGAGGCCGCACCTCGGATCCTGTGTTCGGTTCTGGGGCCCTCACTGCAAGAGAGACCTTGAGGTGCTGGAGCGGGGCCAGAGAAGGGAATGGAGCTGGAGCAGGGCCTGGAGCACAAGTGTGATGGGGAAGGGCTGAGGGACTTGGGGGGGTCAGATGGAGAAGAGAAGGCTCAGGGGGGACCTGATGGCTCCCTACAAGTGCCTGACAGGAGGATGGAGCCAGGAGGGGCTGGGCTCTGCTCCCAAGGACCAAGGGATGGGACAAGAGGAAACGGCCTCAAGCTGCACCAGGGCAGGTTTAGATGGAGCTGAGGAACAATTCCTGCCCCAGAGGGTGCTCAGGCATTGGAACAGGGCAGGGCTGCAGTCACCGTCCCTGCAAGTGTTCACACACTGTGGAGACGAGGCCTCAGTGCCATGGGTTAGTGGTGGCCTTGGCAGGGCTGGGGAGCATTTGGACTGGATGAGCTTAAAGGGCTTTTCAAGCCTTGTTGTTTTTAGGATTCTGGGCAGTTTACTCTGAATTGTGCTTTGCTTTCAGTGGCTCCGACAGCTCTGCTGCTGGCGAAGTGGGAAGGACTTTGCAGCATGAATGAAAGTATCTCACTGGTGAATTTAATCACAAATTTCCCTCCAAGACATTTTGGTATAAATAACCAAACAGAAGAAAACCACTTTAAAACCGCATGCAATGGCTTTCTCCCTGGTGGCTCATTCAGAATGAATAAGCCCTTAGTTTTATTCCTGCAATAACACATTCTAGAAGACCTTTTATAAAATATACATAAAGGTCTGAATCATAGAAGTAAACCTGGATGGGGAGAGCAGCTGGTAAAGCTGCTAGCAAAAACCCTGGCTCTCAGGTCAGCCATAAAACCTCAATGTGGCCTCTTGGTGCTGGCACATCCAAGTGAGGGGCTCGAATGACAGCTCCTCATCCCAGCAGCCTGGCCCCACGCTGTGTGAGGGCAGAGCAGCCCCGGTGGCTGAGCAGGTAATTCAATGCTCTGATCTCCCACCAGCCGGTGCCGTGCTGCCTGTGCGTGGCTCAGAGCCTGCTCTGAATACTGAACTCTTTGTTTGCTTGTGATTTTTCTTCTGCTGTTTCTACATATGCAGGCAGAGCATTCTACAAATGCCAGTGAACGTCTTCGCAGCCCCTGTGGAATCAGAGGCCACGATCCCCATTTTACACCCAGAACTGTGATGCGAAGGGATGAATGAAAACATAATACCCACAGAGCTGAGGAGCTGGCTTTGCAAAACCTGCTTCTGCGCTGTATGGGTACAAAGCCCTTTCCTTCTGCCCCTTGACCAGCGGTCACAAATGAGGGATATTCCCATCTCCTGACATAGTCCAGGTTTTCATGGGTTGCTGGTTTAATGTTGGATTTGGTAATGCTCAGTAGTTTTTGGGTTGTTTTTGTGTTTTTTTTTCCTTTATTGGTGTCAGAATCATAGTATCACAGAATTCCAGGTTGGAAGGGACCTCGGGGATCATCTGGTCCAACTTTTCCAGGCAAAGCATGGCCTAGACTAGATATCCCAGCGCTCTGTCCAGGCAGATCTTAAAAATGTCCAGCACTGGGGAGTCCACCACTTCCCTGGGGAGATTATTCCAGTGACTGCTTGTTCTCAGTGTGAAAAACTTTCCTCTTGTTCCAGTCAGAATCTCCCCAAGAGTAACTTGTGCCCATCACCCCTCTGCTTTTCCATGGAACTCCTTGTAAAAAGGGAGTCTCCATCTTCTTTGTAGCCATATACTAGAACATGATATGAAGGGATCCAAGGTGGAAGAGCCTGAGGACGGACCCTGGAACCTTGTGTGCAGTGGCCATGTGGCGTTCCTTGCAAGGCCAAGGATCAGCCAGCCAGACCTTGGGCACCCTCACAAAAGGGATGGGCTTTTCCAACTGAGTGAGAGGAGCTTGAGACCCTCACAACTTTGTTTAGCACCAGCCCAGCAGGGAGCCTCTGGGAGCAGCCAGGCAGTCTGCTCTGGACACCCTCTTCCCTTCAGTGCAGCACATCAGGGTACACACATGCAGAGCCTGAAAGCGAAACCATTCCATGACTGATGTGGCAAATGGTGCAACCTGCTGTGAAGCTTTGCTGGTGCCCCTTCCCCTCACATCCCTTCTGTGGTCTCTCCTCTTCATTGCAGCACTGCTGACAGGAGCCACAGGCCTGCACAGCTGCCCAGCACCGACCGATGTGCTGCCACACAGCCCTGTCCTTTCATTGTTCTGGGTGTAATGCTGCCAGGGCTGCAGCCAGCTCTAAATGCGTGTATCTCATTTGTGCAGCTGAACCTGTGCCATCTGGCTGATGGCAGGGACAGCTCTGGAAACAAACTAATTCTTTTTTTCCTTTCTGATAAAACATTACCTCTGTGAGATTTACACACTAGACCGAGCATCAACCTGAATTATCTCCCTCTTCTTTTTCTCCAGGGAGCACATAATAGGTAGATCCATCCATCCATCTGCTTTGTTACACGTCGCCCAGCTTGGCAGTGTTTCTGTTGCTATTAAACCGTGCTCATCCCCCTTGACATTTAAAAGGCCGTTAGATGATTACTGTCACAGTCTTGTATGTGGTGCCTTAAACCAATTCTCTCCTCCTCTGCTCACCGATGATGGATTTGCTAGTTTATGCCATAGTAATTTGTTTTTCTCATGCTGCGCTCCAGCAAAATGCTTTCACTGTCAGATGTGGTTTTCTGTACAGCCCTTCCCTGCGGTGCCATGTTGCAACCGAGCAGCTCTGGGCAAATCAGAGCTGCCCTGGCTTTCAACAGCACTAGCAAAACAAAATAGCATCAGCCTTTGGGAGCCTGGTCCTGCCGGGATTGGATCCTCCTGTGTTCGGAGTTGGAACATAGCAGACTGCAGTGCTGCGGTTTGTGTTGGTGGGGCCATTGACTACCATGGCTGCAGAATATCCCATGGGATGCATGGATGTTGGCTCCATACAGCATGTGGCTCCCGAGAGCAAGGAGTTGAGGCTTTGTGCCTGTTTGGGAGCAGAGGGTGGGAGGCACCATCAGCTTGAGAGTCTGCAGCTCATCCATCAGGTCAGCACACATGGGGACAGCTGAGGGTTTGCTGCCACTGGAGCTTTTCCAGATCTGCAATGGGGAGAAACACTTCAGTGTACCAGTTCCTGAAAGTAAAGTCCATTTTGACCTCTCCCATGTTCTCCTGTTGGCAGGATCAGAAACGCTGAGGATGGTACCCAGTTCTGCCAGAAAGTTGATCTTGTGCATGTCCAGGCATTGAGTTAAACGGGTTAAAAACGCTTACCAGAGAGCTTGAAACATAAAGGTGTCCTGGCTCATTCCACGCCTGGAAAATGTGGCCAGCAGGGATCAAAATGCAAGTATCCCCCTGGAATGGAGAGAGTCAGGGCTGTTCATGGTGGTTGATGTCACCTGGACATCTGAGCCTATGGCACTCAAAGCATCCATGCGCATCCCAGCATGAGCCTGCAGTGCTTCTGAGCTGAAAGCTTGGGGATGTCTGGCTTAGCATGGAAAGCAAAGAGAACATTTCCTACTCCACAGTACTCACTTGTTTGTAGAATTACTCTCATCAGCATCTCCCCTGTTCCCAGTCTCCTGCTGCAGAGCAGGTTGATGAGGTTCATGTATCTAATGAATTGCTACTCAAACCCACCTGCTTGCAGAGAAACGGCCTCAACTAAATCCAGCTGTGCTGGGGAAAGATGTGTCTCAGGCCCTTGTCACTATCCCCAGCTGGAGGTTCCTCTCCCATCATCCTGCCAGCAGGGCACTTGTGTGCACAATTCAGATGGAGCCAGCAGGGCTGGTGCTGTCCACAGCCGATAAATGTGAGAGCAGGTGACCCAATGAGAGCAGTGGCAAGCACGCTGCTGATAATGGCACATCCACACTGCTGGTCCCTCCTGCCAGGGGCTTTTTGGAGTGATAACTCATTGTGGCACAATTGCTTCCAGATCCACTATGTGTGCTTCCCTGCTATTAGCTGGGCCAGGTATTATTTATCCTCCAGCAGACAGCACCGAGCTGCCAAGCGTTACATCATGGAGCTTGAGTAACTCCTCAGGCACAGAATAACCATGCTCAGCCCCCAGCTCCTCTCTGCTGCCTGGTGGCTCAGAATTGCCTGCGTGAATTGCCTGCAGAACAGCACCCTCAGACCTCTTCATAGACCTGAAACAAGCCCCAAAGTGGGACGGGTCCTCCCCAAACTGCCCTATCAGCACATCCTCAAGGGTAGCAGTGTTGATGTCAGAAGCTGGTGCAGGATGCTAACTACTTCCACCAGACAGCTGGATCTCAGGGGTGATGTTTCTTGGCTGTGTGCATGCCTGCAGGCCTGGACTCAACGCCAGCAGGTATTCATCTGATCCTGCCATGAAACCTGTGTGACAAGAGCTGTCCCCTGCCCTAGCCAGGCACTGCCACCACTCACAGAGCCCCCCTACCCCTAGCTGCCTCTCACTGCCCTGATGAGCTGTTCCATGGCGCACTTCCAATGCAGGCACCTCTTATGAGTTGGTGTCCTTTGCAGTCTCCTTCTATTGCATTCCTATGGAGTTTGGCCAATTTGCATAACAAACAAGCAGTATAAACTAGCCACATCCATATCTTATTTTCACTTCAGACTCTAATTACATCGGTTTGACTCTAACTTGCCTTTGCAAATAGCTGGAGCTTAGCATTCCCGGGATATTGCTTTCCTGGATCCCCAGGGCTGTGCTCGGAGAGCCCAACATCCATCTTACTTATGGCTGCCTGAGAGCTCCTGCTTTTCCTACAGATGCAATTAGCAGCTCTGCCACTGCTGCCCAGCACAAATGGACCCGGGGAGGAGAGAAAAACCCATGCTGAGGCAGGAGACAGACCTGCATGGCAGCCTGGGGAGGCAGGGGGGCTCTTCTGCATGCCAAGAGGGAAACCAAGGCAAAACCAGCCAGGGCTCTGGCTCTCCGTGGCAGATCCATGCCACAGATCTGAGTTCCTGGTGCCGCCCTTGTCTCACTTCAGCTTGCACGATTTCTCCTGAAGTGCCAGATGCACTCAGATGGAGGAAGAGGAGAGATGGCTCCAAACCCTGGTCTCTTCTCTGGTCTCTCCATGCATTCCATTTCTCCTCCTCCTACGCTGTGGCTGAACGCTGTGTTAAACCTATATAATAAACCTATATATGTGTAAACCTATATACACCTACCTGCTGCTCTCTGTGATGGCCCCACTGACTGCATCCCTTGCCCCCTGTGGGGCACATATTGGGCTCATCTCTACAAGATTCAGAATCCCTAAAGCCCCACTTCTCAAAGAGCAATTCTACAAATGAAGATGAGGATTTGCAGGAAACCAATTGATTCACAGGGTTCATCCTTTATTTTGCCAGATAACATCAGTTCAATGCCTCCTTATTTCTGCTTTGTGAGAGCAATATAAACCACTTAAGTACACATACAAGATAGACTAATCCATAAGTGCTTATGAACTGTTTGATTTACAGAGGCATCTCTATCTTTGCCGAGTATCTCACAAAGTCATCTATTATTTAGCAGTAAATTAAAGCGGAGGGTCTGTGATTTTCAGCCACAGGAATTAATATCCCAGCACTCCTTTGTACCATCTATGTCTATAATTTACAGCACTGAAATCAGCCAGATAGAGCTGCGACACAATCCCTTTCCCCTTCTCCCTTGTTACCTCCTGTTTACTGCTGCACAGGGGGAAGTAAAAAATGGACTCGCAGGAGAGATGCTCGAGGCAGTGAAGGATAGTTTTAAATTAAAAGTCTAGGTTTTGCGGCTCTCAGGGGATCTCCTTTGCTTCCCACACACATCACTTGTGGATAATCTATTGAACCCGCTGCAGTCTTGCCTTGAGACTGCTGATTGTGAACCTCGATGCTCAGGGTTAAACAACAACAACAACATGATGGTTATTATTACCTGCAAGCCTTGCAGACACATACTGTGGGACGCTTTGCCCACTCGCTCACAGTGCAGGGGTGGCCACAGTACCCACAGAGCTGGAGCAAGTGGTGACTATCCAGAAACATGAGTGACAGCAAGGGCAGAGCTCTTCCCTCGGAGGCTCCATGGGCTCATAGAGGCGGTGGATGACTTTAGGAACAAGGGAGGGAGGTCACATTGGAGAGAAATGTGTCCTTTGATCTGGCAGCCCCTTCCTTTGGGTCGGGGCCAGCTCTCTGCCAGCAGCCTGGTGCCACGTTCAAGCACAATAACAGGGTCAGGATGCTTTATGGGCTGTGTCGGGCTCTGATTGATGCAAAGAAGGTAATAATTTATAGCAGTCTCATGTACTACAAGGGCAAAACATGTCCCTCTTGGATGTAGCCTTGCAAGCTGCAGGGATAACGGAGCTCCAGCAGGGAGAAAACATGAGAAGAGCAGAAAAATGACCCCAAATATTCTGCTTGGCTTCTCTGGAAGAAGGAGACCAATGGGGCCCTGTAGACACTCCCCTGCTGTGGGTTGTGTCCTGGCCAGCCTGGACAAGCACCCAGGCTGTGCCAGGGTTCTGAGCCCTGCCTGCAGGCGCCGCCACTGACAGACACCCATCATGCTGCCTCCACCATCTGAGCTCAGCTCCGGAGCCCCTAAAGCAAGAGGGATGTGAACCTGCTTGAGCAAGTCCAGAGGTCACAAAGATGCTGCGAGGGCTGGAGCAGCTCTGCTCTGGAGCCAGGCTGAGAGAGCTGGGCTGGGGCAGCCTGGAGAAGAGAAGGCTCCTGAAGGGGAGACCTGAGAGCAGCTCCAGTGCCTGAAGGGGCTGCAGGAAACCTGGAGAGGGGCTTGGGACAAGCCAAGGGGAATGGCTTTAACCTGCCAGAGGGGAGACTGAGCTGAGCTCTTAGGCAGAAGCTCTTCCCTGTGAGGGTGCTGAGGCGCTGGCACAGGGTGCCCAGAGAAGCTGTGGCTGCCCCATCCCTGGCAGTGTTCAAGGGCAGGTTGGACACAGGGGCTTGGAGCAAGCTGCTCTAGTGGAAGGTGTCCCTGCCCGTGGCAGGGGTTGGAGCTGGAGGAGCTTTAAGGTCCCTTCCAACCCAGTCTGGGATTCTGTGATTCTAAGAACCAGGGTCCCCAGCCTGGTGATCCTGTGTCATTGGATAGGATGTGACACCCCATCACTTTCTTTTCACCATAGTCACTTGCTGTGGTTCCCCAGGCAGCCAAATTGCATGGGTGCCCTTCACTTTCTTAGCTAAATTAGAGCGTATCATTTCTCTTGCAGCAAATCAGACAAAAAGGGAGGAAAATCGGCAGGAAATTCAGCCTTTAACAAGTCACGCTTTGCCCCTTTCTTCTTCTCTATGTAGAGAAATTTCCGAGGAGAAGCCGTTGCAGTATTATTTGTCTTTGTTTTGAGGAAGAAAAGCAAGCTGATTAAAAGCAAACAGAAGGCAAGAGCTGTGGAGTCCCAGAGGCTCCCTTGCAGGAGTTCAAAGGGAGAAAATAAAAGGAATAAAAATGTGGAAGAATTAGAGCAAGACATTGAAGCTTTGAAGATAGATCAGTTATGGATGGCTTAAAACACACAATAATTAGCGCTGATAGCTACAATACTTGAAGAAATGGGCAAAAACTGTTTGCTTCATGCACAGC